ACACTATCATTTCTTCCTGAGGCATATAGAAGGATGTGTAACTAGAAAATCGCTTACCTGCCTTATTCAAGTCCTCAGAGCTATGTGTTAGTTTGGTTTGGGTATAAAGTCCCCTGTGACCTTATTGATAAAGATATCATATACTTGAGTCACAGAACATAAAAAAGTCAATGGGACACTTACCCATAAGATTTATTCCTACTGGCTAGTTTTCATAGTGTTGTATGGTTCTTTGCACACTGTCATAGGTTAAATATATTCTTTGGTCTTAAGCAGTTGTGAAACCTGAAAGCTACAACAACTGCCATGACAATATATTCACACTAGCACAATCATTGATTAAATGTCATTGGAGTAACTAAATTCTGTACTTGGATCTAAGGCCTACTCTCTGAAGTTGATTACATAACTGGCATTGCCAGTGCCAAGAATCTGTGTCTAGATAGGTTGCAGGCCCTAAAAGAGAACCAACTACTGCTATTCCAGTAAATGGGCATAGTATTAAAACAACTCGTAATGACATCACTATATCACAAAGCCAATACCTTCTCTTCTCCCTTAACAGAGAAGCTGATTCTCAATTGAACAACATGGACAGGATAACAGACTCCAACAAATGGGCTATACATCTCAAATACTCCCAAAGAGTCCTGGATCTTTGAGGAAGGGGAAGGAAAATTCATAATAGCCAGAGGTAATGAATATCTCTATGAAAACAGTATTGTCCAATCACAATAGGATAGCTGGGCATATGAATTCAAAGTGATTGTTACAGCGTGTAACCTTGGAAAGCTCACGTCAAGCAAAATGTCATGAGACAAAAAAAAAAAAAAAAAGAAAACAGACGTGAACATGAGGTTCCACCCCTAACTGAAGACCTGTTGGCATTTGGAAGCTGCCGAGGGAAGGAGGATCAATTTCCTTTAATGATGTGACTCCTAGAAAGTTGACCATATTCTAAGGCAGGCTCCACCCGCAAGACTATTTAAGCAAACACAGATTGGACATAATGGGTTACAAAAATCCAGAAGAGTACTTGATGTTGAGTGGGTAGGGAAGTAAAGGTGTATCTAAACAGAGTTATAGTGGAAATGCACTGCACGAAACTCTCAAAGCATTAATAAAGCAAAAACAACAGCAACAAATCCTTAATGTCCCAATACCAAAGAGTGATTTGGATTTATAATTTTCACCCTGAAAAAAAATGAATTTAAATTATAGCAAACATTTAAATATATAATCTAGGATAAGCATAGACAAGAATGTTCTGGAAAGTACCTAATGACAAAGGAAATAATCATAAAGAATTGACGCATAGAGGGCTGGGATGATAGATCAGTCAGTAAGAAAGATCTTTCTGTGTCAGCATGAGTTAAGTATGAATCCTAGTCATCCATGTAGAAGGGAGCAGAGTAGATTGTAGAGCTCAATAAAAACCAATAAAATATAATTAACAATAAAAAGAGAGCTGGACACATCTTATAGTGCTGGTAACTCCACTGTTGGAGAGGTTGGCAGATTCCAAGAGCTTTCAGCGAGGCAGCCAAAATGGCAAGGAGCCAATTTAGAAAGGAAACATGCCTCAATACAGGAATGTGGTAAGGACGTAGAAAAGCATATGACATTCTGTTTGGCACCTGTATTCACATGCATGGGCATATTCACCTATACCCTCATGAGCAAACATAACACACAAAGAACAAAATACATGCACAAAGATACACATGCATGCACGCACGTGTGCACACAGACATACATACACACAGAGAACTGATAAATAAGATTATATTTTTAAAGAAAGGTTTCTATGCATCAAGGGAAACTACCAGCAGAGAAAGAGATAAACCATAGGATAAGACAAATATGTACCATTTACACCTAAAAAGATGAACTTAATCTATAATCTATAATATACTTTAAAAATCCAGTAACAAAAACTTCAGCTCTTCTCATTAATCAATGGTCCAATGAACTGAATTGGTAGCTCTTAGAAGAATCCTGAAAACAAACCCTGATACGTGCATGGAATGGTTTTTATACACTTATCCACGAATGAAGCAAATATTAGAACTCTGACACCCTGTATGATATATCAGAAAGCAACTGATAACAAATGAAGGTAAGGATGGGAGGCAAAAGACCTCTTACTTAATATTGATAATAACATAAACTTCTTCAGTCATTTTGGAAATCATTATAGATTGAGGTTTCTAAAAAAATTAACTATAGAGCTACCATATGAGTATACCATTCCTGGGTATATACATAAAGGACTCTAAGTCAACCCAGAGGTACTAGAATGTTTACTCCTATACCCTTCATAATACTCAGGGAACGGAAACAGTCTGTCTACCAACAGGTGAACGGATATGAAGAATGTGGGGTCTATACACAATAGAGTTTTGTAGATATAAAATATGAGTGAAAATAAAATTTATAGTAAAATGGTTGGAATTGGAAATCATTATCTTAAGAAAAGTATCCCAAGCTCAGATAGATAATTACTTCATTTTTTTCTGTCTATAGTTGCTAGATTTCAATATACTTTGTATATAGTGAGATGAAATAAATATGTATATGTGTGTGTGTCTGTGTGTGTGTGTGTGTCTGTGTGTGTGTGTGTGTGTGTGTGTAGTGAAAGCCATGAAACTGGAAAAAGGAACGTGCGAGGGCAGCGAGGTGATAAATGATGGTTGAAAGCAGATTTTAAAAAGCACACAGGGCAATAGAATGTACATGCCACGAAAGCAGAAGGTGAGCCACTTAGGACAGGAAGGAGCCTAGCGTGAGCGGGGCCGAGAGTTGAAAAAGGGAAGCAGAGGGAGAGGACTAATAATGAAGTGTGTATGAAAACGTCCTCGTGAAAATAACTGCTTTGTAGTTCAACTTGGAAACCTAAAAACAGTAGAAAGACACAAGAAAAAACACCTATAGGACCTCTGTTGGTTTATGTGTCTATAAGATCAAAATATATGCTCGACTGATGTGCAATTGAATACATAAATGCTTGGTGATTTAGAGGAAGCAGTTTTCAAATTTTTCAAATTTCAGAGGACAGTAAGCTTCACACTCTCCTCAGACCGTGAACTCTTTAAAGACAGCATGCTCTCTCTGGCTTCGGAAGAATCTGTGACATTGAGCTTTAGCCTGATCCTTTTCAGTGCCCATGATGCACTGCAAGGGCAGTCACATGCACATTAGGATCAAAGACAACCGCACTCCATGACAACCTGCTGGCCCCTGAGGTTTGGATGGATGACAGTATTTTCTTCTACAAATAATAAAACCCTGTAGTTTTCCTAGTCCTAGAAATGGAATTAGTGAATAAGCTCCAATCTGTAAGTCAAGTATTGGATATTTTTGTTTCCTTTAACCTTGAGAACATTATTCATAAATGTGAGTACAGGCAACTAGCACAGACTGAAAGAAATAATTAAAGAAAAAAATGATAGTTATTCATTTGATGAAACCAAATTTGAATTCAAAACACTGGAGAAGAATGAGGAGGTCTAACCTTCTAAACAACTAGTCTTTGTCAAGAGATGTACATTAAGGTTTCTCCAAACAGGAATTATAAATAGCAGATACTGGTCTATTTGTAAGGATTATTTACTATTCTCTATCAAATTCTACCTACAAGATCTACTGAGTAAATTGGGAACATGGGGACCTTGGGAGAGGGTTGAAGAGGAGGGGAGAGGCAGGGAAGGGAGTAGAGAAAAATGCACAGTTCAATAAAAATCAATAAAAAAAATCCACCTACAATTCCATATACTTTGTATTCCTCAGAGGACCAGTATATACCAGAAATGTTTTAGTGAAAGAGGAGGCCACACACTCATCGTACACACACACACTCACACACACACACACACACACACACACACTCACACACACACACACACACTCAAGCTCTCACACAGAGAGGTTTGAGGCTTGGTGGACTGGGAAGATAGCAAGTTAGTAAATTGCTTGGCTTAAAATCTTGAGGACCAGTTTGATCCCTAGAATCTTTGTTGAAGATTCTGGATGTGATGATGCACACCTGTATTCCTAACACAGGAGGAAGTGACTACAGGAGGACATCTGAGCTTGCTGACCAGGAGCCTATTCACCTTGGGAAGCTCTAGAAAAGTTAGACCATGTCTCAGGAAATAAGTTGAATGGCATCTGAGAAAAAAAAAAAACACAAGCTTGACCTCTGTTCCCCATGCATGCTCACAGATGGACAAATGCATGTGAAGACACGCACACATACATGAGGAGAGAGAGGGGAAGGGAGGGAGATGCATGAGAAGGCACACACATACATGAGAAGGAGAGAGAGAGAGAGAGAAAATGAGAGAGAGAGAGAGAGAGAGGGATGGAGGGAGGGAGGGATGGAGGGAGATGCGTGTGAAGACACACACACACACATACAGGAGAAGGAGAGAGAGAGAGAGACTGTTAATCTTTCACCGATGTTTCATTTGACCAAAGAAATGCTAAGAATCTTATTTAGATTTCACGCAGCTCTCTGACAGTCATCAGCAGTTTCTCTTCTAGCCTTTTCTCACATGGACTCTGAATCTAGGCATCCTGCCCCTGATTTCTTCTTCTGCCACTAAAATATATATTCAGTTTGTTTTGAGGTCTTTCTGTGGCCTCGAATAATATTTTATCAGCATAAAGTAGTTTGCAGGTAAAAAGGAAAGCGCTTATTGAAATGCTCCCACTCCACCTGAAGAAGAAAAGAAATCCCAACAAAAGGATTCCATTAAGGAAACACTTTCAGTACCCATCCTTGTCAAACAGTCAATTAAATTCTACCAGCATTGGCTTGTCAAAGTCAATCAGAGTCCCAGTGGGTATTGACTGTGTTCCAATTGAGGAGAGATGAGGAAAAGCGTACACAGGCTTTGGATTTTCACAGGGCAGTGTGTCCCTAACCCCTCACACAATCATTTTTGAGTGATCCCCTGAGAAGTAGGTAAAGGTGAGGTCACAAAGAATGTTCTTACGTTTTTAAACCCTCTGTAAAGAATCTGAAGCTCTTTCTTGGTGAATTTGCTCTGGGCTTCCAGCAGTTCCAACGCTTCAGGCCGATGCCTGACCGTAGCCATCTCCAGTTCATCTTCCACGCTGTCTGCAGAGGGAAACCAGAGAGAGACTTAGGCCTAATTGCTGCTCCCTTGGACCAGGAATGAGCAACACAAACATAGGACAAAACATTTTCCAGATTTCAGGGACTTCTATCTCCAGAAAGGATCCTCACACTGACAGTAACAGTCTCCGTTTCTCAGACTTCACCAAATTCAACCATGACATTGCTGTCCGATTTTCCTTAAACGTTCGTTCTATTGAGCAAGGTAAATCTTACAATTTTAGCATTTTCCCCAAACAGCTCAAAATTAGCAACAACCTGAAATTTGTGTTTGCGTATCGAGTGCTAGTTTTAAATATAGACATGTTGTATAAAAAAAAATCCCTAGAATCTCATATATCCTGAATACAACATGGAGGACTCTCTTTATAATTTTTGAGGGTTCCATTAAAAAAAGTTGGCACTGGGTTTTGATCCTACTGCACGTACTGGCTTTGTGGGAGCCTAGGCAGTTTGGATGCTCACCTTCCTAGACCTGGATGTAGGTGGGTGGTCCTTGGACTTCCCACAGGGCAGGGAACCCTGATTGCTCTTTGGGCTGACGAGGGAGGGGGACTTGATTGGGGGAGGCGGAGGGAAATGGGAGGCGGTGGCGGGGAGGAGGCAGAAATCTTTAATAAATAAATAAATAAAGTTGGGAATCTTTTGGGTGGGGGGAGGAGTTTTACAAATGAAATGTTCAGACCAGGTACTGAGGAAGGCAAAGCAACAGAAGCCAGTTGGACTGGCTAAAGACCAGCCTTCTTTCTGCAGTTTGCTGGAAAGACTGGGGCCTCGAGGTACTTGTAACTAGTGTGTTGTCCAGTAAATGCAGACAATTTAGAGAGTGTTATTATACTTTTGTATCTTACCCTGTGACTATATATACGTGGTAATTTATCAAAGATATTTTACGTTAAAAAACGTTTTGTGCCAATATGACTGGGAATTGCTATATACTTTAATGAAATTTTAGAATAAAACAATGTAATATATCTTCTTTTTTAATATATCAGTTTTCATAACTGCAAATTGAATCCTGTTTGGCTTTTTATAATATAATCGAGCCAAAGATTTGTCAAGAGGAAATGTTTCACCCTCAAGCAATATATCATATTGTGTGTGCTTTTAGCATACAGTCATATAAGCATAAATCTGAAGGATTCTGGGTGTAATAGGGGTGTTCGTGCCTCAAAGGATAGAACTCTTTACTTAAGATACTCAGTCCCGTATCATTACAGTAGAGGGTGGGATGGAGCCATGAGGGAATATTCTCTATTCAAGCCTAGTCCACGCCCCACAGTATTTCAGTTGGAAAGCTTTAGTCATTGGCTACAGATTACACATGCAGCTGTTATCCAAATATGTACCATCAGTGAGTGAGTGACACAAACAGTGTTGCCTCTGACATGTCCACATGTACACTGAGGTCATGGGAGGGGCAGTGGGAGGGCTCCCAGTAGGGATTCGAGGATCAGGAGAAACTGAGCCATCTCCTAACTCTTGCTCTCAAGTGTTTGCAGGAAACCAGTATTGGCAATAGAACATAAGTGTGCAATGGGTGACCTTTTCAATTAAATGACAGAAGGTACTAACAAATATTCATTATCCCTATGTAATTTGCTTTTTTTGTGGGTATTGTGGATGAGATTGTTTTCCTGATTTAGTTCTTAGTCTGTTTGTCATTGGTTTATAGGAAGGTTGCTGATTTTGTGTTAATTTTATAGTCTGACACTTGCTGAAATTATTTATCAACCTCAAAGGGAGATTTTTAGGGGATTCTTTTATACTAAGAATCAAATCATCTTTAAATAGGGCTACCTAGATTTCCTCTGTTCTATTTGTGTTAGGTTTTTTTGTTTTGTTTTTGTTTCCTTCTCTTGTCTAATTCTCCAGTGAAGGTTTCAAGCACTGTGGTGAATAAGAGCTGAGAGAATGGACACCTTTGCCTTGTTCCAGACATTAGTGGAAATGTCTTTATATTTATTTACCAAATTTCAACTTGTAGGCAGGGATATGTAAAAGGACTTCCTGAATAAGTATTTGGTAGCATGGTAACTAAGATCACAAATCAAAAATGTCCTCCCATGTAACTAAAAAAGTCGTACACCAAAGGAAACTGAGAAGGGAATCATTAGACAGCTCACAGAGTGTCAGAGAATTTTTGTCAGCTATTCATCTGTCAGAGGATAAGTGTCAGGAATATACAAATGAATACAAAAATTTCACCTAAACATTAAGAATATAAATAACACTAAAATATAGTCTATGGGGGAAACAGAAAATTCCCAAAAGAAAATTTCAGTGAAATGAAAAATAAACCCACTTTAAGACTCTTTCTTACCCCATGTTGAAAAATTATCATCATTAATACAAATCACAACAAATTCTGGTATGGACATGGCAAAGTAGAAGTTCTTTTTCCTTTAATGACTTATTTATTAGGGCACGTCATGTGCATGTCTTGTGCCTGCATGTCTGCAGTATCCTCCAAAGCTGGAGTTATGGACAGCCATAAGCAACCATGAGGGTCATGAGGAATTAGAAGTGGGCCCTCCACAAGAACGACAAATACTCTTACTATAGGAACCATTTATCTAGCCCTGTAAAGGAAAACATCTATATGCCATTGGTGGAAGTGTCAATTAGTGTAGTCACTTTAAATATTGGTCTGATGTTTCTTAAAAATCTAGAAAGAGCTAACATATAAAGGGGGGGGGGATAGATAGGTCAGCAGTTTAAAAGTATTGCTTCCCTTATAGAGAACCAGAGTTAAGTCCCCAGCACCCACTTGGAAGCTCAGAACCATATATAACTTCAGTTCCAGGGGAATCAGACATTCTCCTCTGAACTCTGTAGGCACAAGACATGATTTGTTGCACACACTTATGTGTAGGCATGACACATAAGAACCCAAAATGAGTAATCGTTAGAGAGAATAATAATAATAATAATAATAATGAAAAGGAACTACAATGTGGCACAGGTATATTACTCCTAGACGTATACGCAATGGAGTTTCTATCCTACTACAGAGACACTTTCACATCAATGTTGATTTAGGCTCTATTTATAATATCTAGGAAATAATATCAGCCTAAATATCTATCAACAGATAATCAGTAAGATAATTTCAAAATGCAACTAAAAAACAAACAGAATTTTCTCACATGTGTGGACAATGTCCCTACCAAAAGACATGGTTATTAAATGAAAATTATAATAAAAGACATGGGAAACCTCCAAATGAGTCACTGAGCTGTGGGCCTCCAGCAGTTCTTCAACGACACAGGCTAGTGCTATTGCCTTTATTAGGCACCGTAATAGACAAGGTAAGCACCCATTGTTGAAGATACCAAGAAACAGGACATAAGGAAACCAAGCACGAACTGAACAAAAAGGTCCTCCCTGGGGGCAAGCTTTCCCAATGCCCTGGGTATATTATTTAGGGTTCTGGGGAAGACACGGCATCAGTTATCTTACCCAGCACTTCACCCTGAATGCTGCAATATTGACCTACCAGGCAAGATATGTACACTGATGCAATACTTGCCAACTGTTACAAGGAAACATGGCTTTCTTATTAGATTGAGGTCTGTCCTACAGGGCAGAATTTCATGCCTGGTATTGTAATCTTGGTCAAAATCCCAAATTTTTGAAGATATATGCCATAGGGTAAAATCTGTTTTTATTATTTTTATAAATTACCAACCTATCAAGTCTTCAGAATATGTATGCTTATTCCCATAGACTTGAGCTGCTCTCAGCCTTGGCTAAAGAAGTTCTTTTTGCAGTAGACAGTGGGCAGTGGAGAGATGCATGCATGACTGGCTAAAGTGTTGAGTGTAACATGCTGAGTATTCAGGCCTAGTGAAGCATCTTTACCACCCTTATCCCATTTCATGCCATCCTGAACACATAGTAGCTGTGGTTACCTTTACAAGTCTAATACAAAAAAAAAAGGCAAATGCCATTATAGATGAGGTAGATCATCTCCAGGCCCACCCCTTCTCAAAGATCTTTTGGCACTGGATCATTGCTTGTGGAAGGAGAACCATTACTTATTGAAGATATGTCCACAGGTAGTTTTCTCATGTTCCAGTAGATAGAACCACATCTATGCAATATGGGCAGCTGTAGTCGTACATGGTAGATTTAAAACAACAGCAACAAAAACACTCTGAAGTTGGGAGGGATCATCTTAATGGAGAGATTGGGGATGTTAAAGGGGAGAAATGAAGATAAGGCATCATATTTTATAAATTATAAAATTCTTAAAAGTAAAGTATAAAATTCTTAAGTAAGTAAGTAAGTAAGTAAGTAAGCAGTATATTATCATCATGTAGTAGGAGGAACTAAAGTAGCCCGGAAAAGAAGGGTAGGCATTTACTGATATATTGACTTTAGCCTGGGCTTTAGTGGGAAACTCAAATAGATGGAAAGAGAATGGCATAGAGAGATGTGGGAAAAGTTGCTTCACAAGGTAGCTGTGGATTAATGGCCTGATTTGTGCTGTGTTCTTAGATATGGCAATACAAAGAAATACTGCACTTCAGACTTAATACAAGGGGATGATGTCAAGTAGAAAGATTCCAACTTTGTACAGTGATGTGTATGCCTTTTCTTTACTGTAGTAGGGAGCATGGGGGCCCTTTGTTCCATCCCACCCAGCTAGCTTACACCCGAAATAATCACACTGAAACTGTATTCATTTAAATACTGCCTGTCCCATTATCTCTAGCCTCTTATTGTCTAACTCTCACATATTAGTTTATCCCATCTCCATTAATGTGTATCACCACTTGACTGTGGTTTACTGGCATGAGTCTAACCAGCATCTGTCTCGGGCAGGAGAACCATGGTGTCAGCCTATCTCTGCTTTCTTCCTCCCAGAATTCAGTTCTGTCTTCCCCGCCTACCCGAGTTCTGCCCTATCAAATAGGCCAAGACAGTTTCTTTAATAACCAATGAAAGCAACACAAATACAGAAGAACCTCCTACAC